GACCCACTGACCCCAGCTATGCCAGCGCCTCTCACTCCCAAACCGCAGTACCCTGCTCCCAGGCCATGATGATGCCCCTCACTCCTGACCCACAGCCCCAGCCTCCCCCCACCCCACCCCCGTACCTGCTGGTGCCCCTCACGCCCAACTTGTGGCCCCCTGGTGCTGTCAGTGCCCCACAGTCCCAGCCCACAGTCCCCCAGCCTCCCTTGGTGCCCCTCACTCCCAAGACACAGCCCTGCCAGAGGGGCCCCAGCTGTCCCTGTCCTGACCAGGTCAGAGTGTGGTGGCTCTGATTCATGCAGGCGGCGGCAGAGTGCCTGGCCCCAGTGCAAGCTGGAGGGAAGAGGAGGAGAGGCTTGTGGCACCCCCTGCCCTGGGATGGGGCTGCTGCACCATACGGGGCAGCCTGGCCATGGCCATGGCCACAGCCCCTCCCTCCCTTCCTCCCAGCGTCTACTGGTTGCTCAGCCCCTGCAAGCCCAGCCTCTGCTCCGCAATTGCACGATGTCAACACTGCAGGCTCTCTACTCTCCAGGGCCTCAGCATTATAATGGCTGTACACATGGCTCTGGGTTAGTTTTTCACCACAAGAATAAACCTGAGAGAATTCTCCCAGATTATTTGAATGTTTGTATGCAGCCATAGCCAGAGCAGCAAGTCAGATCCAGCAGGCTTTACTCTGCAGAACTTCCTATTACATCCTATGGGAGTTTTGACTGAGAAGAGCCTTCAAAACTGGGCTTCTTGGGCCAGATCCTCAAGTGGTGCAAATCGGCATAGATTAATTGAAAGTCAAGTTTATGTACTAGATGAGACTCCCCAAACCTTTGAAAAGTCAGTTTAAGTAGGGGTACACTGCAAGAAGTTCTTGTAAACTTCCAGTCTGAAGGCTAAGAAAAGTATATATGTGGCTTTTTCCAGTATGACCCTTTCAAATGGATATGGATTCATTTATTTTCAGAAGTATTCAAAAGAATATAAATGTATAACTTACTTTCAGTGAAACTCAAAACAATCTAGATTTATTAAAATTGATACTTGTAACAAGAGAACTAGCAATTTCCTTTCACATCCACTAGTAACCACATAATTTATATGTATTTACCACTACTTCCCATGAAAATATAATTCTAATATTATTTGTGGGTTTTATTATCACAGATACATTTGTATACAGTGGAGCAGATACTAACACTGGGTAAAAGACATTTTTATAGCCTAATAAAGAGTTGAAACTTCTAAACTAATAATAATTTCCTCTGTTCAGCCCAGGCAGGGGTCAGTAGTTTGCAGATATCTTTCTAGGTCATTGTTTTTCT